AGCGGTTCACAGGACGTCCATAGGTCATCAATGATGAGCTAAGCATGATGTAACCGCCCAAAACATGCACTCGACAGCCGATAACGGCCGATTCGGTACACTTTGGTCAACAGCTGCTTTTACCTCTTCCTAGCTGCTTTCCCCCGTGCATTTGACTGTGTGCCTGTCGTTCCGAAGGCGCCCATCCGCCGTGCCTCATGTTGGCTCGCGGTGCGTGCCGACGGGCGGCGCGAGGCGGCGACGCCCTGCCGCGCGGTGAACACAATGCCATGTTGGCACCCACCGAGCCGATGCCATGACCTGTCAGAGGCGCTGCGTTGTCCCCGCCGCAACCCTCCGAGACCCAGACGACGAATCGGTAGTTGGAAGTTTGCCAGTCAAACACGGGACGACGGACGCTGGCTATGGGGTGCGTGCTGCACTGCCAACACGCAGGCTGCCACTCCCCAGGTTATGTACTTCGAATCGCCAATGAGCACCGCTGCTTGCGACCGAGGCCAGTTGCTTAATTCTTTTTTCGGGTCATTGCCATGCGAAGCCAGCGAGCGTGGGCGCGTACCTTCTGTTGACACATTCCTCAACGGTTAATTCGAACTCGACGTTATGTATTCAGGGCCAGATCATGGGTTGAAGCACTACAGGCAATGTCCAGGAACAATAGCCGGCAGTGGTCCGGAGTAGATGCCCCGAATAACTTGCTCTGACGCGGGCCGGCGGACATGGGGGTCTGGCTCTATTTGACAGGGCTCATGCACGGATATGTTTGTTTCCCTTTTGAGAGAAGGTGCAAGAGAGTCACGGATGCAATGCACGAACCGTACCCATCCGGACGGTCGCCCCTCAAGGTCCGGTCCCAACGTCGCGCTGGCGCACTGCGATGCAGCCGGCCGCCTGGTAGAGGGAGTGCGAGGGACGGCTACTTCTTGGTTGCTGACGATCAGGAGCATGGCCAAGACAGAGCATCGGTTGCTTGCAGGACCGCCAGTGGGGAGACATCAGCGGAACACAGGCGCCACGGCTCGTTGAGCTTACTTGGGTCAGCGCTGGCTCGGCACTGATCCGAGTCGGTTAACATAATGCACGCGCGGTCACTGCTTGCTTTTGTATCTTTTTTGGATCTGTCGGCGGCCGGACCAATGCCATCCATGGTCATATGGGATGGTGCAAAATAGCGGGGGTGACTGGAGAGGATGAATGCCTTTGTTGAGGCGGAACCGGTTCTGTCGCTCGGCCGTGGAGGGTTATATGGTATCAGGACACCCTACGCAGGTGACCACCCGGCCCGTCTCCAACCATGTTGCAAAAACGCTGCATGGGTGGATGTGAAACCAGGTGGTCTGATTATTGAAATCCCCGTCATTCGAATGGTGATGAGGCTCGCCTAGCGCGCTTCCAGTGATCACCATGGCGCAGGAGCGTAACGAAAGGGCCACCAGGTTGCAGTTGGCGGTGGACATATTAGAGCGCCATTGTGCCCAAGACGGAAAGTGATGAGCATTTCCGGGTCTGTCTCCCTCGCCATACGTACGTTTGCCTCACATCGGAACAGCGGAAGTGGGCGCTGGCCTCAGAAATGTCTCAACCGCGGACGCGCCGAGCATACCAAAAGGACGCAAGACGACGCACATTGTTGCATCTTGCCGGTCGGCGAAGGGCCGGTCTCCAGAACGGCAAAGGGAGGGTTTAAGCTTCTCAGAGACAGCGTCCAAAGGGGCATGGGTCCTACGTAGCGCTCCCGTCCAGGATGACGGGCAGATGAACACGGGCGGGCGGGAGTTGGCCGATGGGACCCAGGACCTTGAAAGTCGGGGTAAACTTGATCAGATGTATACCTGTGATGCCAACCCTACCAGGCAGGTAAAGTACCCAGCCAGTTAAGTACTAGGGGGGTTAAGAAGCCAGCCCAAGTCCGCACGAAGCGGAGAACGAGAGCCCAAGTTGGTAGGGAGTGCCTACCTGAACGAGGAAATCCGTGAGCCGGCGTGATGCAGAGGCGCTTCACCTCGATACAAGTACCTCCTACCTACCAGGCGCCGTCGACACCATACTACCTGCCTTGGATGGTGTGTACTGTAGAGAGGGGGAGGAGGCGGGGCTCGGGCGGATGATTCAGCCCAGCAGCATCAGTATGGCACACGCCAGGCGAACAGGCGAGCGAGCCGGCAAAGGCAGCTGGCCGCACATTCCAGGTACTCGGATCCTCTGCAGCACCCAATCGAACCCCTTGCTTATAGCAGGCAGTACCTCGAGGTATCCCTTTCTCCCCTGCCAGAGGGACCTACAGTACGCAGCTCGCCTTGAACTCAAGGTCTCGTTGCTCGGGCATACGACCGGCTCCGGGCTGAAGGCGCTGGAACACCACCCACACGGAACGCTACGAGGTCTCCGACGACCACCATTACAATCACCAACCGTTAATCGCTGGCCACACGCGCACCTCCCTCGCCCGGTTGTCCTTGGCTCAAGCGACGCCTGAGCGCGCGAGAGCCAGGATTGCCATGTCTCCCGCTCATTGGCAAGTGGTGGCACGAAATCGTCATGAGCTAGGTCATCCGTCCACATCGTCATTGTGTGGCTGCCGGGTCATCATACTTGCTTTTTCCTCCTTCTCTGTCTCGAGAGCCTGCGGCCGCTGCCTGCCATCGCCTAGAAGAGTTACAAGATCGTACCACTGTCGAAACTGCTGCTGCAATTGTGGCTGCCACCCCTACCCCTTCTGTCGCTGTTGTACACAGTAGTGGGTGGTAGCTTGTTCCCCGTCGGTGGAAAAGGGAAAGCACAGCAAGAGCACAGGTGCCTGAAGCATTAGCACATACATACCTTGGTGTACTTCCCCTGACATAGAGTTCGCCCCTGCATATCAGTCCTCCAGGGGCCCACCTTGTCTTCTTGGCATTGGCCAGGGCTGTCCCTGCCTTGTTGACCAAAATGTGATGCATTGGACTTTTGGATGCGCACCCTGCCTCTTGCCCGTCCCTCCTTGACCCTACCACCTTCTGCAAGGATGGCGGGCGGACAGACGTGACTTCCTGTCATGATCGCCATCTTGCACCTGCTGAATGGCTCCCGCGTTCGATCACGGAAAGGGCCATCGCGAGGACAAAGGAGGGGAGAGGAAGGGAGGCGAGGGGTTGAGAATGGGATTCTTGTTGGGCTGATGCCCCCGACCAGGATACTGACAGACCACAGCACGGATAGGGACGGGAAGCTGGGCTCCATGAATCGCAAGGCCCCACCTTCCCTACAACCGCAAGCAGCCTGCTGCGTTGAGCCATCTCCACCGCCTCACATCACTGATCACCACCCGGCGTCCGATGGGCCAACCCTAGCGTTTCCCCCCTTCGCCTACCCGCTGTCACCGCAAAGAGGGTACTTTGTCACAAATCAACTTCAACCTGGATTTGTCTTTCACCAAGTCGCTCGCTGTAATGGCCGTACTTGGCATGGTCTGCACAGAACCTGTAACTGCTGCATGCTGCACATCCGCCAGGCCTTGTCCCCGCCCTCTCTGTCTGTTCACGCATCTCTCTCTACGCCTGCCAGCTAGCAAAGGAGGAGGGAGCCCTAGACTCGGTTCCAGAAACCATATGCGTGCCCAAGTCCAACCTCGGCGCACCCCCCCTGGTTCCTTTTCAACAGACCACAACAGCATGGAGGGTGACAATCCATACCGTCGGATGCATGAAGGCAGCCAGCCCACAAGCACTGGCATTGGCATTGGCATACTTACTTTTACCTACGACGCCCTAACCCAACCCAGACAATCTCATCTCAGGGTTTGAGGGTATACCTGGTTCCCCTTCAACCACACACACCCCCCTCCATTTTTTTTTTGGACCTGGCTCTCGACTTTTCCCTTAAGCCCTCGCCTCGGGGGTTTTCTTTCTGGTACTCTTTCGTCTTCGTGCGACTGGCTGGCGGATGACCTCCCCTGCCGTCTTGTCGTCTTGTGTCCCAAACCAGGCCAACGACGCTGCTCCTCGACCGCCGTCGTCTGATGTCTAGATTTCGGACAACACCGTCCTGCTCTAGGCCATCAACTAGCTCCCATCGACGCCTGTCACCCTGGACGCTACAGGACATCGCGCCGGCGCACTTGCGCACATGCTTCCTGACCGTCCCAGCACTGACGCTATCCCTACTTCGAAGCACCTGGAGCACCCGCCCCATCCCGGCTTCCCGGTGCCACCAATAGAGACTCAGCGGCTGAGGGCGCAAGGATCTTCCTCGTTTGCCTCTCACACCGGCCACGATACGATATCACTCGATTCCCATTAATCCTGTCTCTCTGCCAGCCCTTGTCTCGCCTCAGAGACACACCTTCCTCCGTAGTAAGGCGCAACTGTCTTCCTGTGAACTCGCGCGCCGCTACCATCTGCTTCCCCCTTCACCCGCTACCACGCTCTGATAACCACGCTCACGCATCCACGCAATCCACGCAACGCACGACGCATCCACGCACCACGAAGCGGGGGATGCTCGACCAAGGGAACGACTCACCGAGACATACCAAGACAAGCAGCAACAGAAAAGGAGCAACTTGGCCCTTGCCCAGGCTCTGAATCGCCCCCCTCCCCACTACCACGACCTACATCGTCGCCCGCCTCCCCCCATTCCTTCCTTGTCTAGCTCCAACCCTACCACGGCCATCGTCAACATGACCTGAGAGCACCACGAGCAGTGCCACCTCGTGTCTCAGTCCCTTTCCACGCTCTGGCCCCATCGCAACCCGCATCGAAAACGGCCGGGAACGCCTCTCGCGCTTTCCAGGCGGATCGTCACTGTTTCTGCACCGTCCGTCAGTGTCCCCGCCTAGCTGCTTCGCCCGGGGCAGGCATTTCCGCAAGCAGTAGAGCGACTCGGGCTGATACATAGTGGTCAGAACCCCTTACCTTTCGCTGCTGCTCCCTTCTCAAGCATTGCCACTGCTTGTTCCAGCGGCGACCATCGACTTTTGTCCCGCTCCACCTAGTATCCATTTGCTTGGTTTTCCCTCCATCATGGACCGATCCTCGAATCCGCCGACGCAACGGCCCTATGCGCCCACCCGCGACGACTACTATCCCGCGTCCGCCTACCTCAACTCCAACAACAACCGGCTGCCTTCGCTGGCAAACCTGGTCACTGGTGCGCCAACCCCCATACACGTCCCAAGCCCGCGAGACTCCATTTCCTCCCAGGCCAGTAGCTATCATGTAAGCGAATATGGAAGCCCGTCTCCCGTCCAGTATCAACCCCCGCCGTTCAGATCGTCGAGGAACCGACCAGGCGCATATCCCTTGATGTCCCGAAGGGCAGCACCACCACCACCGCCTACCCAGTTCCTCGAAGCTGTTTCGCCGACACAGTCGTCGGCGACCCACGAACGCCCGATGCAGGATTACGCCGTTTACAGCCAGCCTCCGCCGTTTGCCACACACTCGTTCGCCCACGATCAATACCAGAACAAGGTGCCGATACCGTACACATCACAGCCTCTGCGTGAAACTCCCATGGTGCGACCCCGTCCCACGAGCCCTCCTCGGCCACCACAGGCGGTAGACGTGTACCAACCGCAGGAGAGGGTCGTGGTATCACAGCTGGCCCGCAATGATGTTCGACCTGCGCTGCAGCCCCCGCGTCCTGTCCCCGAACCAGACCCAACGCTCAAGGATGAGTACAAGATCTTTATACGGCAGCAACCCATAGCGGCGAGATCATGTGGCTTTGGAGAAAGGGACCGCAGGGTGATTGACCCGCCGCCCATTGTGCAGTTGGAAATCAACAACCCCAAGCTCTCCAAGGAGGACATTAGCCAGCGTTACCGCCATCAGTATTATGTCGTGCACTGCACCATTTGGAGCAAGGACGGGACCGAGGACTGCTCCATCATGCCCGAGGAGTATCATCGCCAGCAGCGACGCCTCATGGGAAGTCTCGCGGCGAGCTCTTTTGTTGGCAAAGATGAGAATGGCGTCGAGGGATGCTTCTTTCCATTCTCAGACCTGTCTGTCCGGACGAGCGGAGAGTACCGTCTCAAGTTCTCCATCGTGGTGCTCAACCCAGCTCAGGGAAAGATGGGGAAAAGCTCAAAGATCCACTCATCGGCGATGACGGACGTTTTCACAGTCTACAGCGCCAAGGACTTCCCTGGCATGAAGCCTAGCACGCCATTGACGCGCAGGCTCAAGGAGCAGGGCTGCCTCATCTCGATCAAGAAGGGCAACGACAAGGCAGGCGGCGGGCGGGGCCATGATAGCAGCGATGATGAGGCAGAAGAGGCGCCCCCGAACGGTAAGAAGAAGCGCAGAAGAAGGGTTTGACGAGCCACTGACACGAGCGGCGCGAAAGCATCCTCCCAGCTCGGCATGGAGGATATAGGCGTTTTACGGCATTGGCTGAGGACCGCGGCACCGATGAGGCGAGCATCTAAGCTTTGATTGGGATTTACAGGACTGTTTGATTTGTCATCTTCTTTTTGCCATCATTCCGGATTTGCGGGTGCGTCTGGGTGTTGATCCCTATATTTCTTCACATTAAGTATTCTCTCTCTCTCTTTTTCTTTGCATCTGCTATATCACGCGTGGCAGTTTGCACGTCTGTCCTTTGTGGATTCGCTGGAAATCCGCGCCACGATCGGGTGGTTTCACAAATCATGAGTGTTGGAGAGGAAAGGGATGTTATATGGGCGCGGATTCCTCGTTATTATACCCCGTTGGTTCTCGATGGCACATGGGGGCATGGGACACACACGGACAGGAACTCCAGGAACTTGCCTGTTCCTTTGGGGGGCAGGCAGGTTGGCTGGCTGAGGCATTGACCTTCGGACAGAGAGGGAGATGCGGGCATGACTGTTGGGAACCTGTTTAGCAATACATGGCAGGGAGGGCAAGTGGGATTCTACATTATCTCTACGCCCCGTAATCTTCTTTCAGGAATTGATGTCTGTATTTGCCACACACATACACGGCTATCTTGTCTCTCTGCCTCATGACGCAGATCTCACGTTACGAGCCACCTGACAGACAGGCATTTAAGGGTCGCGTAACCGTGAAGAGCACATGGCAGGCCACATGGACAATGAGACCCTCTGCGGAGAAGGGCTCCCTTACAAGTTCCTCAAAGGAGAAACGAAGAAGCAGAGGCGGAACAGAACGGGGGAACCGCGGGTAGGTTGGGGGGTTTGGAAAGCAAAGCCACCCTCATCACTAGGCTGGAAAGACGATTTGCGGGGAGGGTCATTCTCGGCCGTCTCGGGTCTAGCCGCGAAATCTTTCGGCCGGTCAGTCTCGAATCTCAGGACCTAGACCGGAGGGATGGACGGAGGGAAAAGGAGCAGGAGAGAGAGGATGGGAAGCGAAAAGGGACATGGCTGAAGGCGGACACGTGGGGTTCGGATTCAGATGCGATCGGGAACTGCGGGTGTGGTAGTGTGTGGTAGTGTGGTAGTGTGGTAGTGTGGTAGTGTGGTGGTGAGCGAGTGGTCCAGAGACGAGTGACGCCAGCGAAGCGGTGCATTTGCAGCAGGGCACACTGGAAACAACTCATGAAAAAGGAAACAAACGAAATGCTGGATGGGCTGAAAGAAACAAGGGTCGACTGCATCTTGGATTGAAAAGAAAGTTCGGCAGGGGGTGCCAGATAATGCCCCGGCTCTGATCGGTATGCTTGCTGCCTTTCTGCTATGCAGATGCACGGTATCGGCACCTAGCGGCCTGATCGGATTGGGGGGAGGCTATGTGGGTGGGACTAGAAGGGGGTAGACTGTTGATGTCATTGACTTTGCAGGCTCGCCGGGGGCACACATGTTTGAGGAGGCGGGTGTGCGGCGCCGACGCTTTTCGGCTGCGAGGAGGTATGGCTAGGACTAGGAGGAGGGGTCTCCAATGGCATGAGACGTACGTGGACGGGTTCTAGACTTTACAGACAGAAATGCCGTGCGCGCGCATAGTGTTTCTCATGACCCTGACTTATTCTGGCCGATCCAGATCACCCATGACAGCGCTCGACAACGACTTTACGATCGAGACTGCGGTAAACAAATACCGACATATACGAGATCAGACGAGCACGCCATCCTTGCCTTGATAACGCTCACCGTGGAGCGTCGAGGGTCACCGCAGCTGGGAAAAAACAGGCGAGACACACATCACGACAAAGAGTTCGACTTCGCTGCCCAGTGAAGCATGACCGGGGCTCGAGTCATTTACTGGTTCCGCACCGATTTGCGGCTGCACGATTCACCTGCCTTGACGGCGGCGCTGGAGCTCGAGCCGGCGGTGCTGTGGCCTGTGTTCACCTGGGATCCGCACTACGTGTACCGCGCACGCGGCGGCCTGAACCGGTGGCAGTATCTGTAAGTCTGACATTTGGCTGGTCGATGCCACTGTTCTCATTATGATCGGGCGTCGGTTTCCTCAGTGCTCGCGGCTGACCAGTGCAGACTGGACTGTCAAAATGACCTCTCAGCTTCAATCACCAAGCTGAATCCCAAGTCGAAGCTCTTTGTACTGCGCGAGGGTCCACAGACGCTGTTCCCCAAGCTTTTCAAAGCCTGGAAGGTCACGCACCTTGTTTTCGAGAAGGACACGGATTCGTACGGCCGTGAGAGGGATGGCGTCGTCGTGGCGGCGGCGCGGGAGGCCGGTGTCGAGGTCATCATGCGTAGCGGTAGGACGTTGTGGGACAGCGACGATATCGTCAGAGCAAACGGAGGCAAGCCAACAATGAGCATGTCACAGCTGCAGAAGGCCGGCTCTCGGGTCGGCGACATCCCGCGACCCGTGGCGGCGCCCACGAAACTGCCGGATCCGGGAGAGATGCCCGTCGACTTCGAGCAGGAGAGGCCGGACACTACGCCAGACTTTAACGCCGCGCAGAGGACTGTTGAGGCTGGAGACCAAGGCTACGCGAGCATAGCTGGGCCCAATGGCGACTTTGGCATCGAAACAATGGAAGAGCTGGGTTTCCCGAGCGCCACCACCCCGCACCGAGGGGGCGAGTCGAGAGCACTGGAGACTCTGAAAGAGGTCATGAAGGACGTCAAGTATGCGGCCACGTTCCGCAAGCCGCAGACGAGCCCTGCGGCATTTGAGCCGCAGTCGACGACGCTCTTGTCTCCGCACATGCACTTCGGCTCACTGTCTGTCAGGGAGTTCTACTGGCAAGCTGTAGATGCTGTCAAGGCGTTTGGCAAGGGGGCATCAGGTCCGCCGGAGAGCCTGACGGGCCAGCTGCTGTTCCGCGACATGTACTTTGCTGCACAGGCAGCGCTGGGTTACAAGTTTGAGCAGACCAGGGGCAATGCGTACTGTCGATTCATTCCTTGGCATCTGCCGAGCAAGGTGAACACCGAGACTGGACTCATCACGGGGGAGTATCATGTTGATTCTGAAGAGGCGGACCTGTGGTTCCGCCGGTGGAAGGCTGGACAGACGGGATTCCCGTGGATCGATGCTCTAATGCGACAGCTGGCGGAGGAGGGCTGGATCCACCATCTCGGCCGGCATTCGGTAGCGTGTTTCTTGACGCGGGGCGGATGCTACATTGACTGGGAGCGCGGGTGCGAGGTGTTTGAGGAATGGCTCATCGATCATGAGCCGGCGTGCAACGCAGGAAACTGGCAGTGGTTGAGCTGCGCTGCCTTCTTTTCCCAATACTTCCGATGTTATAGCCCAGTGTCCTTCGGGCAGAAATGGGACAAGGAGGGACTGTTTGTGCGACGATGGGTGCCGGAGCTGAAAGACCTGGACGCCAAGTACATTTACGAGCCGTGGAAGGCGCCGAAGCCTGATCTTAAGAAAGCGGGGGTCAAGCTTGGTGGCAATGGCCTCGACGATAAGGAGGAGGGCACATATCCGAAGCCCATGTTTGACTTCAACGAGCGACGAACAGCGTGCTTGGCCGCAATGAAGAAGGCATACGGGGTCGCACTGCACGGGGCGGACGATCAGGTGGCGGACGGGACGTGGAGGGACATGTTCGATGGTGACAATGGCGAAATGATGGACGTGTTCGAAAGCGACGATGGCGAGCATGCTGATCATGGCCACGACCAGGAAAGCGAGCCACCAAAGAAGAGGGCGAAAAAGGAGGCAGACAAGATCACGCCTGCCAAGCATGCTGCGACGGAGGGCAGTGCCGAACAGCACGCGTCCAGGGGTGCCAAGGGTGCCAAGGGAGACAAGAAGCGCCAGACGTCCATCGCAGACCATGTTCGTCGGGCCAAGTAGCAGCAGATGGGCTGCAACGTTGAGGGATGTGCTGGGCGTTGTTGTTGCAGTTGAGTGATCCCATGGGCTCTGGTGATGCTCGCCTGTACAGCATCCAAAGTTATAGCAGGCTTCGGCTAAGCGCAGAGGTCCAGTCTTGATACTTGCGGGTTTACATAGGAGATGTTTGCACCGAGGATTTTTGTTTTGAATAGAGATTCCGTGGGCCTCGGTAGAGAGCAATCTCAGATGACGAGTGCGCTATAGCGACTGTATGCTCGAGCCACCCAGGTGAGCGAGCTGGTGCGGCTGATTGATGCCATGTGCTCCAGACACGCCATGCGTCAAATGGAATTCCTGTAGGCAGTTGAATTCGAATCAAGCATTTGATTTGTCATGTTAGCAACCGAAAGGCGACGACGTAGAGGAGGAAAAGAAGAGGAGTGACGACGACGGAGCATGAGAGAAGGATAGGCATCTCGCAATTTGGTGCCTGAAGTCCAGCTGCTTCTGGCGCCAATCAAAAGCCACCCCAAGTCTCCAGGCAGCTTTACCCCGATTGATTACGTCCAATGGCATACCGCGTGGCGTCACGCCCGTTGAGGCAGCCAACGTTGTCCTTCAGCCTCCGTCGCAACTGCCAAAGCGAGCTGCAAGGTACGGAGCTTGTTCGTTGCGTCCTGCCCACGACACACGGCACTTCCTGCCCATCTCTGCGACATCAGGACACACCTGCCTGAGCACATGAGGAAGCTGCGCTTGCTCTTTTAGTCCTTAGAGCAAGCCTTCTTGGCTGCCTTGACTCACCCGGCTGCCTCACACGAGAAAGCCTTAGACTCCCAGGCGGCATTCCGTTCTGCCATCCCCAGGTTTCATACCCCTCTCTGCTGCTTCGTTCACGCGGCCAAGCGGTTCGTTTGCCACACATATATAAAAGACGGGGACAATTTCCTCGTGCCTCAAACTACCTCTCTACTCCTATCATCACTTCATCTTTTCACTTGACCCAACGTGCAAACGTACATACACGTACATACAATCTATCGCCAGCGACAGCCCCGCCCCAGACCAAACCATTCACCATGGTCATCATCGCCGTTCCACCACCAGGGGACGACATTGTCGACGTCCTCCCCGAATCCAATGCTGTAGAGAATGCCACCGAGACACTACCAGACAATAGAAAGCTCACCGTCAGCTTGCCCAGCCTTGACCATGACCACGGTTATAGCCGCCCTGGCTCGATCACCGTCGCGCACGGAAACACCAAGGATGCCTTGACCCTGACCCTCAACCGCACTATCCGCGTTCCGGACAACCAGGATATCAACGCACTACCGCCATCCTGCGGCCAATTCCCGCTCTACCGCGTTCGCGACTACGCACGCAACCTCCCTGACAACATGGTGCAGAAGGGCGGGCTTTTCTTTCCCATGTACCAGCGCGAGGCCATGTGGATTGCCTTCCACGCCAGCCATCCTTTTGCCATCAAGATCTACGTTGGGGGGGTCAATGCCGTCTCGGGCTTCCCAATGACAGAAAACGATAAGACCCGCCAGAAGCGCGCTCGCATGTTGCGCGCCTCGAAACAGATCCAGGACTACATGGTTGTCCCTGGGCAGCCCTGGCTCGATGGCATCGTCTCCGAGGACGGCAAGATTCGTCAGTTTGTCGCCCAGCCCAAGGGCTCCGGTTTTGCCGTTGAAGCCCAGGTGACCGGCGAGGAAAAGGTCGGCGGTATTCAGATCGAAATAATCCCCGCCAAGCGCAACACCCCTACCCAGTTCGACGTTCGCTACGAGGACCGCGAGCAACGGGTCGTCACACGCATCTTCAAGCTAGCCGACCGCGGCATTACCGCCGAGAGCACGTGGGAAGACGTCAAAAAGATCATCCGCGATGAGTTTGACATTGCGTTGAACGACCAAGTCCTCTCTGACCACAACGAAAGTGGCGCCTCGGCTTTTGGATCTCGCCACGCCTCCATTAGTTTCGACAACGACGTCAAGCTTGGCGATGTCTACTTCCCGCCCAACTTTTCGACTTTGTCTGTGAAGAATCGGCCACCTCCAGCGCGCCGGGATTTCCCTGTCGCCAGGACAGCCCCCTTCCAAAGTAGGTCACTAAAATCCAGTTTTGCCGAACGCTCAAGTCATACCTGTGTTCTGTTCCATTCTACTCACTGGGTCCATCCTAAGAGACATGCCATTTCGCACAGTCGTCACTCGCTATGCTACTATTTCTTTCATTCCTCCTTACTAACTGTTGGTCTCAGGTTTCAGTGCCGCTCTTTCCCCTCCCGGTGCCGCTCACGCTTTCATGGCAGACATGCAGTATGACTCTAGTGAGAACTTGTCCTTTGGTGCTGCTGAAGGCTCCGCCATGCTTTTCGGAGGCGGGCCGTCACCGCCACCACCACCAGCTCCCATGAGCGTACTCAGGAGCGTGCGACACGAACCCGCCCAGCCCAAACCTTCGCCCCAGTCCAAGGCCCAGCCCAAGGCTGCCGTGAAGGAGATGGGAATCGCCGCAGGTGGCCTCATTACCCAGACCATTAACCCAGACGCCTATCCCGCCGACTCATGGGATTCTTCGGCATCCATCATGCTGAACATACAAATTCTCGATGTGGCGTCTTACTCTGCCGTCACCGGCTTGCCAGCGCCCGCCACTCCCGTCAATGGCGAAGAGTATGCCCGTCACGGCTATCCGTACTTTGAGATATGGAACGAAGAAAAGACTGGAGTCATGGGCGACTTTGATGAGGTCAAGAGTGTGGCGCAGATGGAGAAAGAGCGCGCCCTCGCCGAGGGCAGGGACGTGCCGCCCGAGGAAAAGAGCGTGCCTGTGCGGATCGTTAAGATTGGGGGTCAGCCCCGGTGCTTCAAGACAACCTTTCGCCCGCTCGAGGTGCTGACCAAGGAGCTGGAAGGGTTGGCGATTGGGCCTCATGACGACAGCGATCTGTGATAACGCTATATTTGACGAACTGCAATGACAATGGTATGACTTGGAATAGCTTTCCGTTGATCCCTCACTTTCTGAATGGTTTTAGTGTCAACGTAACGAAAGCTGCAGGGGTAAACAGGCATGCTCGCCTTGAGATGCTGCATGATGAACTCTCGGGCTAGCGATCTCGAAGCGGATATGAAGTAGATAGGCCATACTTCAGAAATTGACAACCTTAGTCAAAAGAGCACCAGATCCACGCCTATCTCTCTGGCAAATTCGTTCCACTTGGAGTCTCCCCCTTCAGCCCAGTACCTTTGCATAAATCTCAGCACGATGAGACAATTCCCCAGCCCGTGCGAGCCCATGGCCGTCATCCTGTCAGCGAGGAAGAGTCGTTGCTCGTCCGTCGCGGCCTCACACCCTGCTGCGAGCAAGGGCCAGAGGAGCGGGATATTCGCCTGGGAATGTTTTTCCATGGCGCAGAGGGAGGAGATCATGCGGTCGACCGTCGACTGGACTTTGGGGTGATGCTTGGGGAGGGCGTGCACGCGGCGGTAGAGGCCTAGAAGGGTCGCGTCTGCAAACAGAGCGTGCGTGCTGCGCAGTTCTGTCTGCGCCTGAACGGTGGTGGCCTGGACGGCCGGAAGCGCGCTGGATCGGACGCCTGCTAGACGCGTTTCCAGGGAGGAGGGGGCATCGGCAGCTGACATGGATACGAAGGGACAGGTTGCCGCCGTTTCGGTCAGCGGACAGGCTGAAGGGGATGAGGGTTGCGCCGGCACTGGGAGGTCCATCTCGGACAGGTCGCAGACTTCGTTGAGGATCGAGACGAGATGGTACGAGAGGCCGGTGGATTCGTCGACGTGGCTCGAGGCAGGCATGCTCTGGAGCAGCAGGCCCCAGTCCAGTCCGTAGGTCTCTTGCTGGTGCGTCAGGGGCTGCCCCGAGACTCTGTTCATCAGGAGCAGGTGGATGAGCCACCTGAGACTGAACGCCCACAGCGGGTTGGACCTGTGTCGCCGCCCGTCTTGTCGTACGATGAGGATAGCGCCGTCGAGGTGCTTGCGGTGCGTTTCCGTGTCGCCGGCGCAGAGACACGTCGTTGCTAAGAGGAGCGCTGTCGGGAGGAAGGCCACGCTTTCGCCGCCCTTTGTCATGGCGCTTCGGAGACCTGCCAGCGTTTCGACGGTCGCCGTTATGGAGGAGGTGCGCGAGACTTCGTTGCCCGCGAGGCGGTAGTAGTGACTATAGCTTGCGGCTAGGAGGGCGCCGAGCATGTAGTCGTGCGTCTCCGCTACGGGGATGACGAACTCGAGGGTCGTGGCCGGCTGGAGGGGGAAGTAAATATTGACCGTGTGGGCGATGAAGTGGTCAAAGTGGAAGCGGTGCCGATCGGTGCGCAGCATAGGGAACGCCGCCGGTCGGTACGTCAATAGGCCTGGCGTTGAAGCCGCCGCCGCTGGCGAGGCTCGCTGCGTCCTGCTTTGGACGTCTGTGGGCGGCGCGTCTGCGAGGATGATGGGTTTAGGAGCCGTGAACTGCTTTCTGACTATGCTCAGATCGTACACGCAAAACCTGGGGAACTTGGAGCATCGCGAGCACACTGGCTTCTGCTCATCACACTACCAGCCGGGTTAGCTGGCATTCATGGCGTCTAGTTGCTCCTTGTGTAGCTATCTGGACGATTACTTTTGCCTTCTTTCTGCGACATTCCGTGCACCCTGCACGGCGTCTTCGTGAGAGATCCATGATTCATCGTGGATTGACGGCAGCGCTATCTTTTCCTCCTGGCGTTACGAACCGGGCCAATGTCCATGTCCTCAAATCGATGGCCTATCGAAGGTCGACGTGTAAAAAGCAGTGCCAGTGGCATCTGGGAGACCGTGTTGCTTCTGTCAGGATTTGCTCCGTCATGTGACTCTCGAACGTGAAGGACTTTCTAACAAACGTGGAACCGACCCCGCAAGCCGTGTTGTCGGTGTTCTATTAGCGGGTGAAGCGGCCTCCAGTTCCATATCGCGGGCCCGTCACGCCCCTCCACGTCATCAATCACTCGAGATGGTCCTCTGCTTATGCCGGCAAACTGACCGGCGCTCTAGCTTCTGATAACTCAACACAGTTTTTTGATGTTCGTCTTTAAATTGCAGTCCGCAATGTCAACCAACTACACACAAGGCTACTCCAAAGCCACGACCAGCAGCCATGCCGCGCGAACAATCCACTCAGATGCTGCCTTTGTGCTGCCCCTCATTGATCCTGCGGACAGAATCCTTGATGTAGGATGCGGCCCCGGTACGATAACAACAGGTTTCGCGACCATCGTGCCACAGGGCGAGGTCGTCGGCATTGACATATCGGACGAAGTCCTTGCGACGGCAAGGTCGTCCGTTCCAGCGGGCTTGAGTAACATCTTCTTTCAGAGGGCCAATCTTCTCGAGGGACTGCCGTTTCTCGACGACAACTTCAGCGTCGTGTTCAGCTCCCAGGTGTTCCCCCATCTGGCGACTGCCGAAATGAGGACGGCGGCGTTGAAAGAGATGCGGCGCGTGACCAGGCCCGGGGGATTGGTCGCCACGCGCGAGGTGGCCGAGATGCTTTTCTACCCGCGCGCCAGCAGCCTCAATGAGCTTCTCACCGGTAACATGAACAAGGTGTTGCGGGCGGGACAGAAGGATGGGTGGTTCCCCGGCGGCGAGATGCCGGCGCTGTTTCGTCAGCTTGGATTCAAGCCCGACGAAATCAACGTGGGCGCCGGCACGACGGTGCACTCGGGAGAAGAGGGGAGGCGGGCCTTCGGGGCAGGTTATGGCGCACGCTTGAGCCGTAGCGATCCCTACTATGAGAGCTGGAAGCGAGTCGGCATTTCGGATGAGGAGATCGACCGTACAGTTGAGGCACTCAATGTGTGGATGGGGGATCCGGATGCTTGGTGTGTCGTGTTACAGGCCGAGGTTTGGGGCAGGGTACGGCATTGACGAAGAGAAAGTGTTTCTCGGGCCTGATTCAATGCACATTGGCTGTCAACAGTGGAAAGTGGTGGTGCACAATTTGGCTGTCGCCTGTCTTGGCCTCGGAGGTGGTTGCTCATAGGTCATTATTCATCATTGGGAAAACTGATAGAGTACTCTTTGCCTTCCCTTGCTCTCTTATGGACCTCTCTTGAACGCTCTAGTTTCCGTAGTCCATGCCGTCATCGTCAAAGTGAAAGAGTCGCAGGATGGCTGCGGCGATAGCATCGCCGTCGTGCTCAAGGTGACCCGTTTCCGCCGCACGGTCCGCATGATCCAGGTCTTGGATCGACCCCATATCCACCCTCATCTGAATCTGGCGCTTGACCATATGGTCGTCAAAGGCAAGGTGAGCCTGCGACGTGAACAGGCGATTGGGAATGTAGAGGCCCTGGACAGCTGTATGGGGGGAGGAGCCCCAGACCGTGATCTGTGAGTCCTCTGGCAGGAGACCCTCGGCTGACTCCACGGTAGGCGGCGACTTGACCTGGTCTTGGTGCATCTGATGCAGGTGAATCTCGTCGTCGTGAACGCGGAAGAGACGCTTGCCCGTCTTGGTGAGGTCAATCTTGCAGTGCCCGAGTTCCCAGTCGCCTGAGGGCGCGGGACCGACCTCGGCGCCTAACAGGCGAGCGAGGAGCTGATGACCGAAGCAGACACCAGTGAAGTGAAAGTCGAGCCGCTTTGTCCATAATTCTGTGAGATGGTTTCAATACTCGAAGCTCATGCATATGGAAAGAGATGTTTTCTTACCCTTTAACAGGGAGAGGAGGTCGAGGATCCACTGGTCATCGCCATGTGCGTCGTACACACTGCCAGTGATTAGGAGCCCGTCAAATCTCGCCATGTCATCGAAGGTGGGCAAGACGCCCCCCTTTTCTGTCACGACATGCTGATAATCGACTTCAATTCCGAGTGGAGGGTGGTGCGCCTGACCAGCTTTAAACATGTGGTGGAAAAGAATCTCGCCAAAGGAACCGCGCGATTCAATTGTGTCGGCGTGAGGCTCATCGGTCTCGAGGACCATGAGCTTTACAATATCATTGCTGGGCGTCTCGTGACTGGGCTTGTAGGTGAGAACCATGCTGGGCTTGATGGTACAATTGAGCAAGCTATTTTGACAAGCGGTTGATATTAGGTGATAATGATGAACTGTATTAAGTAGGTTCCGACGCAGGCGGGACTGGCTTTATTGACCTTTGCAAGCTACCTAGGTATACTCTTATGCCGCAACCGGTTCAAGGCCAGGTGACGCGTCCATAGCGAGGGTGCACGAAACATAAGAAGTTCGTCTAGAGCGCCAAGGCGAAAAATTGTCTTCGTCATGGCGATGGATGTCTCTCCCCTTCCTCTCCATTGTGTCCTTCGCCTCGGGAAGAGGTCTCATTGACGTCACGACGGACCTGTTCCTGCAGCGGGTTCCTCAGAGTCGTCTTCCATGCACCCATTGAAAGGTCTCTGTCCCGCTTTATTCCTCATTTTCATAACCTAATGCTCCAATTCCTTAGCCGTGGGACCATTGCTAGGATTCTCGGCGAGAGGTTTAGGCTGGGGACAATGACGATGGTGGGGTGATGTGGCGGGTCTTCATATTTCTGGGCATCCTTAGGCGTCCTTTTTGAGCCTGAAGCCGCAAGAGAGCGCTGCAGGGCTGACGAATTCAGGGTCAGACTGCGTTGACCAAGCCTGTGCCACGCGTTGAAATCAAGACAATGGCTCTTGTACGACACCCTAAAGCCCTTGGCGTCCTCAGCACTCTCAGCGCCGTAAGGCAAACCTTCTCCAAAACCTCTCGGCCCGGCTGAGAGGCCGGGGATAGAGGCTGTTGTGTGAGGCACACTGCGGGCTCAATGCTCTTGTTTCTTTACCCATCCAGGTTCGACTATCGTTGTCCGAGATCATCGTCGACCGACTCGCCAACATAGGGACAAAGCCAAACCAGATGCTACAGACAAGGCGGCTGCCCCCGAGGCAACCGTATTGACAAACATGCAGGCCTAATGGTGCGACTCTATAAAAGGTGACCCTGTTGCTGCTCACTCTCGATTCCTGCTGGCATCAGTAAACTTCGATACTTCATCACAAGGCAATCAAGCAAGCAGACCACATTCTTCCCCATTCTTCAGAAAAGAAGCATAAGCATCACCAAAATGAACTTTTCGGGCAGCAACAACGAAATCACCAATTCTGGATGGAACTTCGACGGACTTCCAGACGACGTGCAGTCGATCGCATCGACGAACGAGTCCTTCGCCCCCAACCATCCTGGAGGCTCGTCGCGCAGCAGGAACGTAGCTCCAAGCCTGGCGCTTGGCAGTTCTCGCAGCATGGTTTCCCCCGACAGTCCTGGAAGCGGTCGTGATGCATCTCGCGCATCGAGCCCCCATCTGTCGAGTCCTGTCAGCTCGAATCCTGGCAACAGTTACCCCGACATGCCCTCATTCGCACAATGGAACACCCGGTCCGGAGCTCATGCTGGGGCACTTGGGCTATCGATACGGGACTCCAATAGGGCGAACTCAGTCTCGCCCTTCCGCCAGGATCATATCCGAGATTTTGGTACTACCCAGGTAAGTGACGATGACAACTACACCATTATCGATGACGATGGAAGACGACCCGTCGAATATACTTCTATGCAACCTGGGACTGCTCACAGCATAGGTAACGTATCACATGGGCAGGCGCCACTCTGGATGTACGGTAATGACGCCGACGACGATGATTCCGACATAACCGAGATTGATCATGCACCGAGGTACTACGATGCTTACTCTCGGGGCGGTCAAATTGACCATACTCCTTCGGTGGCTCAAGCTCCTCTTAGCAATGCTGGAAGCCGCAACAGCAGTAACATGCATTCTGAACCTCCCCGCAACCGTGTTGCTAATCCTGCAGGCATCGACGCTGTAAGCAACGATGAAGGTAATAGTGGTATCAATCACAGAAACGAAGGTCAGTCGGCCGCTTTCTGGCCAGATCTGCGACCTCTCCTGACTGATGAAGCCGCCATCCGGGACCTTCACCTTCAGTGTCCCATCTGCTACGATGCATCGGATGACATGCGTGTTTTGAGTTGCGGACACATACTTTGCAAAGATTGCTTGTACCGCGTCCTCAAAAATCGAGACGGCGCACGTGGCAACCCACGAGGCCGCAGTCGTGAATGTCCCTTCTGCAGGATTCAACTCGGCAAGAAGCGAGGCTGTCATCCCAACTGTCCGCAGGACAAGTCATGGACCGTCGGCCTCCGCGTGCCCGCATCGATGGCTGAACTGGCTCATTTCCCCCTGACAATTGCTGAAGGTGGCGGCAAGCCGCTGTCTTGCACTGACTGCCGCGAGGGCCGCGTAATGAACGCTTTCAAGCGACTTTGCCAGGAGTTGCTCAACGACAAGCATGCACGAGTGGCCATCTCTGATGGAAGCCAGGCTGCCAATGTCGTCCCAGATACGCACACAGCAGTGCCTGAAATGCGGACGATGTCTGATGCTGTCATGAACGTGCTTTACAGCCCTGAATTCTGCACCAAGTACGCTGGAGTACAGGCCCCTGTGATGCGCAAACGTGCCGCAGCAGAGTTCACCAAACGCCGCTAACTTCATATTTTCCGTCATCGCGTGTCACTGTTTGGACGCTGCTTACATGCTGCCGGTTCAGAAAATGTAGGTATATGGAAATAATATAAAGAAATGATGTTCTTTTGCGGCTATGAAAGATTGATCAATTAGTGCCCGCTGATTCTCAGTGTTGTAATCCGTAGTGCTCTCAGTGCCAGTCAATCCGAGGGAGTGTAGATGAACCAAATTGATCAATCGGGATTTTCTATCGTACGCAAGTTTACCCAGTTGACAGACTGGTCTTATGGACGTTGCCCAAATCTAAACTTCGATGCTCTAGACCACGTTGGTATGCACGCATAGTGACCTTGAGTTACTTAGACACACTTTACAGTCTGATCGAAGATGGGAGTAGCAGGAAGAATCTCTACCCGATATCACAGATTCATATCCGGCTATTCCACAGCTGGTGATCTCGCGAGAAGACTGCCTAATTGAACGTTAAGTTGTTTAAAGGTAGTGTATCCAGTTCTCCCGAGTCAGCCAGCTCCCCGTTCATGACACCAGGAATGAATGCTTCGCCTTTGAGTTTGAAAACAATATCATCAGTGTCTTCAGGAGCACCGTCCGGTATGACTACTGTAGCAATCAAAGGTCGGCTGTGATAGTATAAGATGATTACCACATCTCCTTGCTGAGTCGAGGCTGGCACAAGACCCATAAGGGCTCGGTTCGACGTTGTCATCAGCCGGCGTAACCTGGTGCGCGCTTCCATGGCCCGGTGAGCTTCCGCAATCTTGTGGTACGAGTGCTCATCGGAGCCGTTGAGCCTATTGAGATGGGATTGCTGGATAGGCTGGAAGGTAAAGTAGGATGAGAGTGGCTTGCCGGCGATGGGGAGTTCACGGTTGGCTTGGATGAAGTCCCAGTTTCTCTTGTACAGGAAGCTATCATCACGGTGCAAAGTCTCTGAAGCAGAAAGGTCAGCAATGAGAATGTATATCTGCCATCATAGATTATTGACTGACCAGGAAAAGAGTCGAGTAAACAGCTGAAACTCGCTGGTGCCACCTTGCCGTGCGTGCCTGTTCCCCCGACAAGTGTGGACCATATCTGGTTAGGAACCGACTGTGGATTCGACTCCGATCCAGCGTACCTAGAAGGCTGATAAGGAGTTTGCCCTTCCTGGGCGGTCTTCCAATCGGGGGAAAAACGCGGCGCGACAAAACCCCCTTTGAACAGAGGACCTGGGACCAAGTAAGACATGTCCGATTCATTCAGGGCCCCGAGGCCATCGACAGTGTCGATGACCCAGCCTGGGCAGATCATGTTATCACCCTCAAACTTCGGTGCCATGTTCGTCTCAAACTCGAACGACTCGAAATCACCTGGTTTGTACTTTGGACGAGAAGGTTGGGCATGCCACTTTCCTTCGATGCGCCCAATTTTGGACTTGACATGGAAACGTGGACACCATGACGGCACAGTCCTTCCTTCATCGGGTGCAGAGCTTCCACCATCGATCAAAGAGAATATATCGAGTGAATGGTCGGCTTTGATGCAAGCTTTTGCGTATTGGAGATAAATATCCGTCGCAGAGAGACGGGCAAACTCCGCGTTATTCTGTAGTGGAAGCTTCTCGAGGGCAGGCAGTGCGAGGAGTCCGAGCACTCTATCCTTATCAAAGCCACAATGAGCATCCGCAGCAAGGGTGAGCGATTGGTGAATGGGAGAGCCTGGGAAGTTGTTCATAAGAGGCATCCGGACGCCCGTCGCCGTAAGCATTGGATGAGATGAGTGGCTCTGGACATCCATGACCCCGGGTTGAAGCATGAGCAACAGCTTATCGGTATGCGGTATCTCCTTACGGTTGCCGAACATGGCGAGTTCGGCAATGGCGGCGACGTGCTCGAAAGAAGGTTCGCGTTTCGTAGACCGGCCACTCGCTGCCAGTGCTCGCTGCATAGAGTCGCGTACCGCATCGGCCATCATGGATAGCAGCAGCGCTCCGTCCCGGACATAGCGCCACTGAGTAACGATATCTCCGCAGAGAATGGGCGCGCTGCTGTGTGCCATTGCCAGTTCCTGAATGATCCACAGTCGCCGCCAGTACGGGCGGTCGAAGAAGTCGTAGAGCGAAACCATGGCGTAATCGGTATCCCCCTGCCGCGCTGCTTTCCGCATGTCCTCTTGTGCCCCTTCCACCCACGCGCGGGCCGCTTTCTTCAGCTCTAATTCTGCCTGAAATCTGTGGGAATGCGCAATTGTAGGCTCGGCATGATCGAGAGCTTCGTAGTATTCTGTGCGATAGTTGACGCCAATCTCTTGGAGGTATTCAAGAACCCATGGCGTGTCCTCGTCGTGATGATATCCGCCGCCGGCATGGATGATGATGTTGCCCGCTTGGCGGTATATGACCGACATGAGAGGGAGCTGCCTCGCCTGGTCTTTGAGTCCAGCCTCGGTCTCGTATTGCTGATTGATACACAAAGCATCGTTCCACAACCAGATGCCTTCTTTGAATGGCGCCATCTCACGGAACGCCAACAAAGCAGCCCATAGATTGTATCGCACTCTGACCCGCTTGCCGTCCAGAATGACTTCGTGTACGTCGCCGTCCGTGTAAGTCCCCGCGTCGTCGTCTTCGTCAGTCACAGCGGGCTTATATGTGGGGTCCAATCGCTTTTTCTCGTTTTCCTCCTCCTCCTTGCGAGCAGCCTCTTCCCTCTCCTTTTCTGTGAATTCCCAATCCTCTTTCTTGCCCCAAGAGTAAGACATAGCAACATAGTTTCCCCAGGTGAACCTGTTGCGCACCTTCGGTTCTCCGTCCGGAACGTCACTGAGGGGAACTAATGTGGTGTCCTGCTTGGCTGTGCCCGGCTTGGGTTTCAACTTGGTGATGAACCGACTCATTCTTCCTCGATGCTTCGTTGCGGGTGTTTGTTGGCCTTGCGGACGAGGCATTGAGCATCTTGCAATGCCAAAAATCTCCTGTGGTCGATCCAAATTCATCTCCTCGTCAAAGCGCACAGAAGGCCTTCCAGTTGGGATTGGACTCTCACCAGAGACCAGTTGCGACGCATCCAGACTCACCACCCGCATCCTCAAGACAATTTTGTTTTCGGTAGGGGGGCTATCTCCAATGCGCGGTTGGATTTGGATGAGCCGGATTGCGAGGGGCTCATCACGGTCATCAGGGAGAGCGTATTTCGACGCGTAGTCGGGATAAGAGAATTCGCTGTCGTCGGACATTATGATAAGCTATTTCCCTGCAACCAGGCGATCAGGCGTCGATGTATGAGTGTGTGAGCACAGGTTCATGGCGCTCGGCGGAATATATGCACCTTTGTCGAGGGCGATTCGTGATCTTGCGTGCATACGAGCTGAAATCGGGACCACTAACGAGTACCTGAACAAGGTACGAGACAGGAATTCAGGGCCTTCCATGCACTACTGAAACCAGTAGCCTTGCAAATGAGACACTCGACCAATTCCACTGGCAGAAACGACGGGGTCGAAGAGCGTGGCGTGTTCAGCCGCACAACGCGCCGCTTATCTTGCTCGCCTATAATAGGCCCCTCCAAACAGCAATAGTTCCCAAGTCCCCAGGTCATCAGGAGGCGTGAAGGGCGGCAGTGGAATTAGGAGATCAGGGGTGTTTGCCAGCTTGATGACCTCGTACATACCCCACAGCCCCGCACCGCCCCGAGCCACCTTAACTTTGATAGGTACTCTGAGGCTGGTGCAACGACAATTCTTGGGAAATAAGAGCCTTATCATCTGTGTGAAGGCACATAATTGCGTACGCACACTTGAAGCCAAGAGGATTAGTTGTGCAACCAGCCCATGGTACGTCTACCTCTGGTTGCTATTCGTAGATGTTTTGTTTCAACCTCTTGTGCAAACTTGTTCGGTGGCGTCCACTACGCCATTCACCGTCGAACAAAACTCATGTTGGTGACATGCCAGTTTTCAGACCACCAGGCTCGCGGCAGGATGAGACCCGACGAATCTGATCACCGAGCGGAGCAAAGAGTCGCCGAAATGGTACTCATTGGATGCATCACCAGCGTGAGCCAACTGCAAGTGCTTCAACTGGGTGTACCTCCTGTCGCCTGGATTGGACCAAATCTGCATGCCAGGTCTCGGCCCGGGCCCCATCTAGGGTGGTGTACATACACCATCGTGACCTCTTGAGAATGATTGACTGGGTGCCCAGATTGTAGGCCTTTGATAAGAGGTCCATTACATGACGCGGGATTTGCTGCTCAGTCCTTGGCTCGAATAATAAGCCTTCCAGCCCACCTACCAACACATTTATTTCTCACGATGCCCAGCCTTGCGTAAGCACTCGATGTTTCAGTAGAAACATCGCAAGAAACGTCCTATTCTCATGTCATTTACGCAGATGATATCTACAGATGCAGTTTCTGTGACTACGTACGAAGTAGCGACAGCCACAATTGCTGCTCGAGAAGAACGTGTCCTTACGCAGACAATACGTTTGTCAACGACGACATTTGTTTCACTCTTAACGCTCGGAGTTGACTCCGACGACGATACTGTCGGATCACCTACGGACACCATGCCGGCCCCCAACTACGACAACTCGCTATCGAGCGCCGAAATTGGTGGCATCCTAGGAGGCATCGTAGCAGTCGTCGCCATAGCACTGGTGATCTGCTTCTGTATGACGCACAATCGTCAGCAAAGCCGCCGCCGTCGCCCTCATCCTGAATACTATTATGACGATACGACAGAAAGTTCCGATACCCATCCGACGGTGCCAAGGCGTCAACGCTATGTACCTCCTCCGCCCCCCCGAAGGCCAACTCGGCAGTCTCGTGCCCAAAGACCACAACCTTCCATGCCGGCACCACCGGCACCTACATTCAAAATCAACCGGGGCCCAGCCTGGGATCCCAAATATTCGAGTCCTAGAAGAACAACGAGATGAGCGAGTCATTTCTTTTTCACATCTTTGTTCAGAGTCTTTTTGAGCGAAATCGCAATTTTTCTTGCTTGGCGGAGATGACTGCAGCCTTGCAACTTGGTGAAGTCAAAGAGTCGCATATCATCCGGGCTCAGATTGACACCACTAGCAACCAGCAGGGATCATGAATGTTGTCTATGGAGCACGAATACAGAATAATGATCCACAGTCACGTCTTCCAGATCCGATATGACTTCCAGTCACGATGTCCCTATTTTTGATGTAGTAACTTTGAAATTATGCACTAACTAACTTAACTACAATGGTCGGTTGGATGCTGGATTGAAGTAGGATGAAAGACGCTCGCGAGCTATGGAGCAAAAGTCCCGTGCAATGCTCCCCTTGCTGAATAATCCCTGAAATAGACTTTGCCGTACCTGATTTTCTTCTTTTTTTAAGCTGCCTTATTTGGTAATCTAAGTGTTTGTTTCGTGACAATAAGGTACGGGCTAAAACCGCCGCTTTGAGGGTTCTGTGAAAATTTCATCAGGCGATATAGGGTCGGCCGTTTTATAGGGGGTCTGCATACAAAGAATGAAGAAGATGCATGATCTCAAACACTCAAGCATAATCAGATGCAAGCTGAACTGCCCTAAACTCCTCGGCAGGCCGAATCCTGCAATGACGAGAATATCTTTGAGCACGATCAATGGCTTATTTCACTGTGGAAGTCAATCTAGAGCCAGTCAGGGGCTTTGCCCGGATCCTCTGTTCAAACCTAGGCAAACTTTAAATCAGCCTCTAAGTAGTGAAGCTCGACTTCTATCTGTAATGCTTGCTTCTGTCCAGTCACCACGTCTCGATGAGGGGGGCGCTCGCAACCCACTCTGAATAGAGAAGCCTGACGGGTATTCCCCCGTTCGAGGCTATGTTTCGGCAACAATCTTGCATGCTGAACCAGGTCAACCGTAATGACGGAGATATTTGATACACAACAATGGCTAGCCTCCTTATACCACTGGGTGGCAGCAAGAGCCATGTAGCAGACACCACGGCGTTGGTGCAAGCTTGGAAGAAGACCCACTGCATACTTGATCATGGTTTAGCAAGGTATCATGGGCGCGCGGGATCACACTGATCGTGTGAGGGCTGCAACTAAGCTCTTCTAGGGCCGACCGTAATCGTGCCATTGAACCAAGGTAAGTGCCCGCTTTGCCTTTCATGAACGCTGGTCCTACTAACATGGGCCATTCTCTGGCTTTTCTGGAGAAAGTAAGTGCAAACAATTACTGCACCTTTCTTGACCGAAACACACACTTATGCCAGGTTAAGAGGTCTCGTTCATTACACGGCTTCAGCTTGATCTGTGCAGATCAGTTCTACCATTGTCTCCCATTGCTTAGCATTGAGCAAGTCTCCCATATGATGCCTCACGCAGATCATGGCCAACCGCGTTCAATTAATACTTTATCTATCATGTGCGTTCGAAGCTGGTTCAATAGGGGCTCACTAAAACGAAGTGATCTATCTATTTAACCTAGCTACGGTAGCCATTTCAATATCACTCGATATTGCTTTTATATGTGTTGTATCAATACCTCACCCAGAGATATGAGAGGCGAATTTCGTGCACTTCAGTGCCCTCTAATACTTCTTCAAGTGCGTTCATTTTCGAATTCTAACGTGCATGATTGAACTCCGCATTGAGATGACCATGGCGGAATCCCAAGGCTTGCCAGATCCGCAAGCTCTGAGGTCCGCACTCTGTAGGCCGACTGTATACACAGCTCCGACGCGTGCGAAGGCTTCGAAATCCGCCTTGACTGGTTATCAAATCAATCACGGGACAAATCGCTGCGGCCTCAGTTGCTAGGGTTAGTGGCAGATCTCAACATTGCAACGATTTGATGAGGCACTATGAGCACGAAGATCGAACACCCGTAGAATGCTAAATTGCAACGACGATGTAAAGATTCTACGACCGCGCATAAGTCTTGACCAGGCCTCTGTGTATCATTCTGAACTCCATAAATCTACACTAATTCATGCTTGACCGAAATCGTGTGATTTCAGCCGCTGCCAGCATTTTCACGGGGCACCTGTAGGATCCCTGTAGCACGTTAGACCGCCATTCATGGCTGCTCTTCGGATGGGAAAGCATGCTGCCACTTACCAGTCAGTTACAAGATTTTCGTCAAGGGCGTTCATGGCCGCCATATCGTCATCTGATATCTCGAACTCATTTACGTTGGCGTTTTCAATGAGACGCTCTTTGCGAGAGCTCTTCGGCAGCGTGACCATATCGTGCTGCAAAGACCACCTGCAGCGTCCTGTTAGCGCATGGCATGTGACGACGTGCATCATAAAGAACTGTTCGGCAATCAAAAGCCTACCTGACAAGCAACTGGGCCGGGCTACACGAATACTTTGTGGAGAGCTGGATAATCTTGGGATGTTCCATCCGCATTGCGCGTGCCAGTGGCGCGTACGCTTCGATGGTGATGTTGTATTTGGAGCAGGTCTCCCTGATGGAAATTTGCGTGTTAAAGGGGTGGACCTCGATTTGGTTAATGACTGGCTGGATACGGGGCTTCGATGACATCAGCTCTTCGATCTACATAGTGCGGTTAGCCTTGAGAGTCGGGCGAATGAATCTCAACAAGACTGACATGCTTGGAGCCGTAGTTGCTGACGCCGCCTAGCTTGATCTCACCGTCATCAATCGCATCCTCGATTGCCTTCCAGCTCGTGAGCCGAGCTTCCTTCCCGCCATAAGGACTGTGAAGTAGAAAAAGGTCGATGTAGCCGAGTCCAGATGCTTTGACCGAGCCTTTGATCGATTTGCGGACTGCATCGTATGACGTTCCATTGCTTGCCAACTTGGAGGTATAGAATACGTCCTCACGAGTCAAGGCATGTGTGTTCTCGCTGCTGGCAAGAAAGTCATGAATAGCTTTCCCAGCCTCAGACTCGTTGTGATACATTTGAGCGCAGTCAAATCCGCGATAGCCGGCGGTGAGAGCCCATTTGACGGAAGATGTGGCCTCTCTGCCAGACATCATGTAGAGGCCCAGTTGAATTTGCGGGATCGTAGCACCATTTGAGAGCTGGGAGAGTATTAACCAAAGGACCAAGCATGCGTGGTACGAGCACTCCCGCGAGTGATGCGGCCTTCATGACAGCCGATGCGTAACCCAGTAATTGACAGCAGCTGGGTGAGGGGTATGGTCGGACTGGTCTGTAAAGAGCACTGACCTTGGCCTTGGTATCTAAGGAGAACTTGGTAGACGCCATCTTGGTTGCAAATTTGGTCCGGATTTGGCCCCCTTCACTGGTAATCTGATTCAGACGATGTAGGCGAATTGACAAGTCGTCGGGTGACGAGGTGAGAATGTGCCTCGTGCCGAGTTTGTTCGCACTATCTAGATGACATCATTTGCGTTCAGAGGTGGGGGCGGGGCAATGGCACGAAAGCATTACATCAAAGTCAACGTCGACTGGGCAAGATATTTTTATGGCGCTCATATCCTTCTAGCTGCGGTGAATACTGCGCAATCTACAATAGCAAAAGTAGGCGGCATACAAATGGGGATGCCCTCAACATATTCTCAAGGCTTGCTCTTTGTCTAACATCCTGCCAGTAAGGGAAGCACAGCCAACGCTCTAAGCTAGTCAAGAACTCGACATAGTCAACGGGTGGGCGGAGGATCGGTTCGTAAAACATGAAAAAAGAATTATACGGGATTCAGCTTTTTCAACCTAAATGTCAGAAGGAAGGCTTGAAAACGCCGCATACCCCTGATAGCCACTTTGAGGTGCGGTCTCCCGAGACTGGTTGGCCATCTTTATCTTCGTGCCCGAGATAGAAGTTGTGGACGATCGCCATCTCTGTCAGTATCGGCTATCATATGAAGTCGACTAGGCCACTTAGGCCAACAACCGCGCCTTGAAATCATGATTATACAGAGACCTTAGGATGATCAGTGTCGTCGAGGCCACTCCAAAAGGGTTCTAGATCAACAAAGCAACAACACACAAGTTATCCCTGGCAATGAAATATGTCAGGCAAGTCACCCAGTTCCAAGATTTCACATAAAACTTAAAATCAGTCCTCATGAGATGAAATAGAACACATAAGAAGTTGAAACAAAGCTGTTTAGATCGGCCATCATTGCGCCGTTTCGAAATCAGAACCCCACCATAGCATTGATCCTTCTCATCTCCGTCTTGGAGTTGCTGAGCTCGGTCGCCAAGCGATTCCGGAACTGCGGGTCTTGATCTCCTTCTCGCGCGGCGTGATCCTGTCTAATCATGTCGAAGGTCACTGACAACTCACTCAACCGGTGGTCCAGTGCATCGGCCAGGCTGACGCGCCATTTAGACGTGTGTTTTCGAAACCCTTGTCGAAACTGAGTCATGTGATCTTTGAACAGCATGTCGCGGCTGAGGGTCTCTCGAATTACAGCTTTCCGTCTCTGGTCGCTCCCCGACCCGCTATCGGCATTGGCCTGGTCATAGGACGACTCCATGGCTTTTCCGAATATGGATGTACGAATGCCAGTGAGAGCATTCGTTTCCAGAATCCTGCCACTTATCAATGCGTAATCAAGGATATTTGATAAGAACAAACTTACCAAAGATCCTCAAGCAGGGTTGTATAGTGTCGTTCAATATCCTCAGCAAGTAGCTGGATCCGGCGACTAACCACCTCCCCTAGAACTGTTGCTATGGATGCAGGAAACTCAGACAGCTCATCGTCTGCAATGGTAAGCTAGGCTTTGATACTAAATAATGTTCGGCGCTTACCGATCTTCTGAACAGCATCAGCCTGAACGGAATTGACAGTATCAAGAACCCGCGCATGGTATCCTTCAAGCTGAAGCTTGAAGTCACGCCACCGCGTACTCAGATCAAGGGTCATAGTATGCATGGCCTGATGGTTCCAACTTTGAACCGCTTGCTTGGGCGTCGAGTGGTACCCGAAGTTTCCGCAAAACATCTTGTAGGTCACTGCACCCACATTAGCACATACATATATCCTCCTGTTTGGGGCTTAACATTGTCTTCCTTACTGGGGGCCCACTAGGTGAAGTCAGCAACAGAATTACTGGAAGTGTTAGAAGGAGGATGGGCAACTTACACCATGCCACACTCGGGAAGCCTGAACAGCACCTTCCACCCAACGTTCAATATGTTGGTCTCCAGAGCCATGCAATTAGCCTACGCACATGTCTGATCTAAAGTGATACATACCCTTGTACACTTTGGACTCAAAAGTGGCGTTAGCAAGGCTACTGATGGTCCTAATACGGCTTGAATTCTTGTTCAGAGCCTGCAATGTGTCAGCTTGTCGACCCACGACAGTTCCAGGACGGAAGGACGAACAGACTGGATTCCATGTTCCACAGCGTTGACAACCTCACGTATAGCACGCCTTCTCTCAGCATCCAGAGTGCCAGCTCCGTTTTGCACCCAGATATCAAGCTCCGAAATGAGAGCTGGGATATCCTTTTGGATGTAGTTGAGTACTTCTCGTGACTGAGCGTCCGCCACAAGTCCTATGCAGTGCCTTCTCAAAGCTGGAATGCCGCTGAGGTTCATAAATGGTAGCGCCTCGTCCCGCGTTTTGTCCCGCTTATCGCTGTATAAAGTATTACTGACGCAATGAACTTCTAGATCCCCACTCGGCACAGATGAGCTGTATTGAGACCTCAATTGTTCGATGACCTGCCTGTTCCGGCTTTCAATCAGGAAAGTGCTGAGTCTGGCCAAATATGAGCTAATATTCAAAGGTTATGTCTTGTCCGTTGTGCCTCACTTCAGTTCTTCAGACTTCTTTTGATTCCTGGCAATATCGCAGGTCAGAAAGATTTTGCTTTTCGAAGTGTACGTGCAATATACCTCAGTTTTTGTATCTTTCGACGCAGCTCTCTCCCTCGACGTATATCCGAATCCGAGGGATCGTCAATGTTTTCACATTCGTCTGCAGAGTCGTTGGCTTCGTCGATCTTTGACTCCAGATTTACAATGTTGTCAACATGTTGTTGGATGTCATCGGCCAAGTCGGGGCGCCCTCTCTTTGTCTCCTCTGCTCTGATGTTCTGATAGATCAGCAGGTCAGCAGCGCTCTTACTGGCTCTATTCGCAATCAATCAACTGACTTCACTGTTAGTACAGACTATACCAATATTGGTCAGCTTAGCCTGTGTCGCGAGATCGATGATGGAAACCACGCCGGCATCAGTGATAGCACGGCCTATGTGACACACTGCCAGAATTTCATCGCATTGTTCGACCAAGTACCGTTGCGTGATACGGAGGCGTGCTTTGTTGATATCGCGGAGGCCTGGAGCGACACACGTTAGGAGCGCTCCCATTCTATCGGCTCATATGTCCTTACCAGGAAGATCGACCAGTATGAGGCCGCGATTCAAGATGTGAGCCCGAAGATATACTCTGTCTGAGAGTCAGCAAGATGAGCAAGGCTCTGCGTAGCAAGATTTCACAAACCGGATCCTCTTGATATACGGCCAAACCGCAGGGTCTTGCGACCCCACTGTCTCTGAGGACAGGTTCTCGAGGAACTGAGAGCAATGCTGCAAGGTCTCACAAATGGTGACGCCTTCATGGTGACTTGGCCTAGCCTGGATAGCCCATTGGCGCAATGTCGTCTGAACCGCTCCTTCGTTCGGACGCAAGAGACAAGATGGATCTTCCAGCTGGCCCCGAAACATTGCTTGAAATGTATTGATGGCGGCCGTTGGCTCAACCGCTACGTTATCGGGTTCCAGACCGTTGGACTGCCCTCCAGACGTAAATTGGAGATGGTACTGACGATACGCTCGTAGTAGTTCAAAAGTTTGTTCATCAATCTCGCTCTGCGAGAATAAGACCACTTCGACCCGAAAGTCGCCCCTATCATGATAGTGGTACTCAGTTGCAGCACATGTGCACGCAGCACCATTATTGCCCTTTGTGGCTTCAGTCAGCATTGGAGAGGTTCATGAGATACAAAATCTCACCATCTTTGCTATCCCTGGTCGGTCAAGAAGACTGTTGAGTAGGCTGCTTTTGCCGACGCCCGAATCCCCAACAAAGCCGACAGTCCGAGTCGAAAGGCACCTGAAGTTAGAGAGTTGACTGGCTTTAGTATGAAGCCCTTGAATGGTTGAGTCAGGCTCCTCATGTAAAAGACTACTGCGGAGGACATCCCGGATGTCTAACATGAGCTGCTTGGCCTGTCCGAACCCCTCTTGGAAGGACTTATGAAAGAACCGCTGACCTTCTGGTGGGTCCTCGTCCTCGACCAGATACGGAATGACCTTAACGTGCGAGCTAGATCGTCTTCGTTGATGTTGCGTAGAGGGGCTCAATGGCAGGGGTGGAAGACTAGTAGTCCTTGGGACGGGCAGTCTCTCTGCCTCGACCAGAGCCTCTCTCATGCCATTAAGCTGAAAGGAGCCTGTCGCAGTGGTCGGTCTCGACTGAGGTGTCCGGCGCGAATCGTTAACAGGAGGGGTTACAGAGACTATCGGCGTGCCTGAGCGACTGCGTGCGATGAAGGAGACCCGAGAAGGCATCGCAGACTCGCTGCCATCTGTAGATATACTGGTGTAATTCTCCACAGACGGCAAGACATTCGAGGGTGTTGGGATTTCAAACCTAGCTTGGGCGAGACGACCAGGTGACTGCGATGTATCTCTAGGAGTGTCGCGATTCGGTGTTGAAGATTGACTGGTGATGCCTATCACACCACTCGATTGAGTGTGTGTTGGGAAGAGACCTTGTGCTGCTTGACCAGTTGTTGAACTGGCCCCCGTACGGAAAGCGAGGGGGCCATTGTTGAGGGGAAAAGTGTTTGTGAACTGCATGTCTTCATTTGACTGAGGGCTGGCTTGACGGCTTGTAGTCGATTCAGGGGAGGCTTGCACATAGCGAGGGATCTCTTGGTCACGAGTTTGAGAACTCAAATCGAAAGGCCGAAGAGATGGTTGCGTTCGCGATGGTGAGGGCGAACCAAACCAGCGGGTAAACGGCTCGGGGTTCTAGGTAGTTGTGTTAGCGCGATAATGCGAAGTTGGACACCGGAGCTAACTCACGTCACTGCTCATAGTGGTAGAGGCAAGGGAATGAGGTCTTCTGTAGGTAAGGAGAGGTTCTGTGCAGTATGAGTTGTCTCCAAGTTCGTTAAACCGCAAACTCGGATCAGGCCAGGCGCAGGCAGCCGCTTTTAAGGCTTTGCATACTCGTCTTCTGCCATGAATCAGCCACCTTGCTTATGAGCCTGGCCGCGTTGTATATGCAAGCACGCAGACCGGAATCACCAACAGGCGGGGCGATACAAGGTCAACTCCGCGCCTGTCTGAACTAGGCCCCTGGCCTGCCAAACTCGAGGCCTATGGGCCTGGTATCGGCAGGCGCCTGCGACGTACCTGCCAGCAGCTTGCTAGTTTTGTTATCAGTATAGGTATCTTTGGCGGGAGCTGGTCTTTTGAGAAGGTCGCTGCTGTGTCAGACTATGCGGTTGGTAGCAGGTTCTTGAGGGGATCATGCACATGCATGTCGAAAGGCTGGGAAAGGGGAAGCGGCGGCGAGGGCTCACTGGGGCGACCAGGATCAGGATCAGGTGGTCCGCGACCAACGACTCGACGTGGTTGAATCATGTTGATGAAACTGCCCGAACGGTAGGGTCGCGTACAAATTTAGTTACTAAGATGGACTGGCGCGACATGTCTGGCCTCGGGTGACAACGCATGGAGAACCTCCCAACGAGGTGTTCACCAGGACAGCCCCATGCTTTTCAGGGGGGCCCCTTCGGTAAATGTCCCACTGCCACGGACACATTACCTTGTTTTGTTTGTACAAGGACAATCATCACCCATGAGGACGGGTGGGCGGGGCGATTTATTGCAGGGGTCCAGCGTCTGCGATATCTTTGTGAAAAGTCGCGCATATGCATTTGCATCACGCACAAGTCGTTCGTAGCATAAGATGGGAGTCTTCTTGAGAGTATCACATGTAAGCAGAAGCCTGTCCTGAAGATGAGGGCCACGGGTGCTTAGAAAAGCTGCAACTGATGGCACCTTGTATGACATCCTTGAACCTCGAGGTAAAGTTAGCCGGTCAGCCAAGTCTGACTGAGGTAGCGTCATACTGCACGTTGTAACGACCTCATGGATACAGAGAAGACGCATGATCAGTAGGGTCAAATTCTATGCAACAGCGCGACAGTGGCACGGTGTATCTGGGGCAAACCAACGCACAGCGCGGCCCGTAACGCCTTCGGGGTCTTTAACCGCTAGCGTCGTAGGGCAGCCGATCGATGGTCTCTCAATCGACCGCGAGACCTGTTTCTCCTGATTGAGATTTGCAACTTGAGTCTACGCCTCCTGAGCACCTTATCTACAACTGCATCCCAGGATGTGAGCTATTGTGCATATCTGGCTTCAGCCCTCATTCGAAAACCGTCGAACTTTGGACGTGTGCACTCGTCACGGCAAGGTCTTCTACGGATATCTCTGGAGATCGATCTCTGGCGGGGTCTCCCCACTTCGCGATGCCCTGTCATCCTAAGGGCGCATCCGTCGACCCTCCAGCTGTGGACCTTAAGTAGACGTTCAATAACCAACTGAAACATCATTGACATCGCAATCTCGCAAATACCATACTCACAGTAATCGAAGGAAATCGGAAGAAGATAAGAAAAATGGTATCTACAACCACCAACACAAGTCTGCCGTGGATGGAAACACCACTCATCCCATCGCCTCACCTGTCGCGGGCCGCCGGCTGGTACGTTATCCAAGGCGTTCACGCTCCCTGTGTATGAGGCACACTGACATGAAACATAGCAACATTTACCTTAAGCTTGAGAACCTCCAGCCCTCAGGCTCTTTCAAGTCTCGCGGTATCGGTAACCTCATGCTACAAGAGATAGCCTCCCGTCCCGATGGCCAGAACCTGCATTTCTACAGCTCCTCCGGCGGCAACGCGGGCCTCGCCTGCGCCACGTCGGCCCACGCGCTCAACCGGCCCGCCACAATCGTGACGCCGACCTCGTCCTCCCCGCTCATTGTCTCGAAGCTCCGTCTCCTCGGCGCCGAGGTCCAGCAGGTCGGCGCAAACTGGGCCCTCGCCGATAAGCACCTGCGCGAGAACCTCGTGGCCGGCCGCGACGACGCCGTCTACGTGCCGCCCTTCGACCACCCACACGTCTGGGACGGCGCGTCCACCATTGGCGACGAGCTCGTGAGGCAGGCCCCCGGCGCCATCCACGGCATAGCCTGCTCCGTCGGCGGCGGCGGCCTGCTGAACGGCCTGTTCCAGGGTATCGAGAAGCACGAGGCCGTCCGCGCCTCTTCGAACCCACCATGGCCCGAGGCGCGGCGGCCCTCCATCCTCGCAGTCGAGACACGCGGCGCTGACAGCCTCAACGCCAGCGTCGAGGCTGCCGAGCACGTCACCCTGCCCGGCATCACCTCCATCGCCAAATGCCTGGGTGCCGTCCGCGTCTCGTCCAAGACGTGGGAGTGGGCTCAACGCAAGGCCCGCCTCGGCCCTTCTGAAGTCACAAACGCTACGGCGGACGGTCCTGCCGAGCT